GAAAAGTCACCTTCTCCTTGTAATACCTATGTCATACCTTTGTCATTATACAAATTTATGTCCTCATTTGTCACAAAAACACACACACACACACACACACACACATTCACCTGCTGTCTCTCAGGCTGTGGCACATCCACACGTATCTCGCAGCCAGTGCTGCTGTCTGTCCCTCTCCTAATACTATCTTTATTTGTTCTGTTTCACTAATGGCTGTAAAGTTCTTTATTAAGTTGGTGAATTTGTTGAAGTAGAGGTTTCTTATGGATATGTATTTATGACAGTGAAGGAGGAAGTGCGTCTCTGTCTCGATCTCTCCTGTCTCACAGTGAGCACACACTCACTCACTCACTCTCTCTCGCTCTCTCTCGCTCTCTCGCTCGCGCACAACTCCGCATTTGAACAGTCAATAGCAAATACTTAAACTAATAACAAAACAGTAGCTGATTCAGAAGCGCCAGATTGTCATAGCAAAGTCAGAATTACCTCCTCTCCTAGGTTCACGAAACGGTCGTCCATAAAATGCATTGCTGTTCTGTTGTAAGTAATCTTAAAGATTCCTAAATGCATCTACTTTCGGAAGGCCAAATAAAGTGCTTTTGCTTTCGCCTAGAAACACACAGCTTCTCCCTGACATGACTGCTTCAACACTAACTGCGGTTACTGAAACCACGCCTTCTTTCTTTGCGTGAACATTTGGGCCGCATTATGCTAATATTTCCACATAGTGAGGTAGATATGTGGGGGCGTGTTAGAACGAGCCGTTTTAGGGGGCGTGGCAGAGTCTTAACTTTGATAAAGAATATCTCTTTGGTTTTGAGACTTTAGTCTTTGCAACTTCAGGGATCTTATCTATGCACAATCAGCTTGTAACACTCCAAAGAGAAAGGAAATCTTGAAATCGCATCATATGACCCCTTTAAGCAACACAAACATCAACACAATGCAAACTTGCTTTAAATAACCAGGTGCATCTCTGGAATGTTGACAATGTTGAAGCGTTACTTAACGAACAACAGAACCGACTAGAAACAATGCAACATCACAGGCAAGAGCGACTATTAGCAATGCTTGACAAAATAACCTCTAGATCTTCAAACTCTGAACGCTCTAAAGCGGTTGTTTTCGTAAAAGGCGTTTCCTCCAGCAAAACAAACATGGGAAAAGTTAATTGTGCCACCGAGGAGATAAGGATAAGTACGGACAATGGGCTGAGTTTTGTCGATTGATCTCTTGGCACCTAGTGTAGTAGCTGTACTGGAAAATAATGATTACATAAGCAGCCGGGAGTCACTTTGAATTACAAAAAACACCCACCCGCACTGTGCAACAGACATATGTGATGCAGAACAGCTTCCAGATGACATGCTTCTTATTTTAATTGCAGATCGTGAATGAATGTTAACCATCACGTGGAATTGAACCCAAGAATAACAATGGCTTGATAAATTAGCCAGTTACATGTATTACACACTATACAATGGCAGTGCAGGTATAGAAACATTTCTGTAGATGTTATTGGAAAGGCACGCTTTGTCTTGGCCTCAAGTGTAAACAGTATAATAACCATCACGAAAGCATTCAAAATACCACTGAACTAATTGGCATGAGTTTTACATATATAGGAGGACACTGCAGCAAACAGACTGTACGGTTATTTTCATCTATAAAATTACCTTATTGTGTTTTAACGCTTAAACTTTGTGTTTGAGAGCGATGGTAAACGCTGTGCTGTGGTAATTGAACTTTACCAGAAAGTGTGAATTCTGACACTTACAAACTTCTTTTAGAAGTGTCTTAACTGTAGCTGAACAATAACTGAACTCATGCAACATTAATCATTTTGAGGAACAATGTTGTTTTCTCTTTTCCCTACTTTGCATTATAGTTTAGGTGGTTTTGTACGTTTGGTGATTTTGAAAACTGTTGACCTTTAAAAAAGTAATCGTCCCCTTGGAATTATAAGGATCTATCTGCATTCCGAGTAGTTTTGAGATACTGAGCTTCAAAGTTTTTGCATTCCATTCAACTGTGTAGATAGAACCTTTTTGTTTTTTAAATAAAAAGTCCCAAAATGTACACAACATTAAAAAAATCGATCACATAATGTACATAAGTTGTCACAGATTAAGAATGTGAATAACTCAATTTTGACAAAAATGTCAGATAGAACCTTATAATTCCAAGGGGACGTATTGTTGTACAGTGCAGTGTTGTTGACTAAAACTATTAAAAATTGTTTTGCTAATTGAAATAAAGTGAAATATTAATATTAGATGAAAAACTTACATTTAAAAAACTTAAACTGGTTGAAAATAAAGAAATGCTACAGTTTAAGTATTAAAAATAATAAAACTGAATAAGAAATATAGTGTTGATGACAAAATTACAAAAATACGAAACATTACTAAAACTAAAACTGAACATATAAAAAATGAAAGCTAACTCAAAATATTAATGTATCCTATAAATAAAACTTAGTTCTTTGATACAAACCGTGGTATTGATTACAATATTGATATAGCATGGCTTTTACTTGGTAAATGCCGAGTTCACACTGCACGATTTTCAAAGTCGTCGGGTCACCGTGGTTTTCACACTGCACGACTATCTGAGGTAGCAGTCAGTTGCTGCTGTGTTCACATTGCACGATGGATCGGCGACAGGAGGTTACACACTGCATGACTTTACAATAGGAAGAATTGCCGACAGCTCTGTCTGGTCCGCAAACTACGTTTCACAACAAAACACACGCGAAAAGTGATATGGAAATATCCCGAGAACCCGCGGGCGTCAGACCGGAGTTCTCGAGCAAGACTGGAATTATTAAAAAATATATATATAGCCCGCAAATTGTCTAAGAGCTGATTTCCAGCTACAAGGACAAAACGAAAAACAGATTATGCAGGAGGGAGATGCAGGGAACAGGGATTGGGTGTTCTGCAAAGAGAGCTGGAGGTAAATAATTTTGCAGTAACTGTTATGCTGATGTTGTGGCTGGTCAAGCAAATGTTTGTGAGTCAGAAATCATTGAACACAGCGTGATTGTGAATCGCCGACAGCTCCAGATATTTAGCATGCCAAATATTTTGTGGGTGTCGGTGATTCCCTCAGATCGCGTCTTCGATAATTCACATTACATGATTGTCACTTGCGTGAACGAGCACCGATTTGCCTCCGATTTCGGGCATTTGTCGGCGATTTCGCAAAACCTGTCGGCGAGTGAAAACTCGGGCTAAAATCGTGCAGTGTGAACTCGGCATAAAGTAATTCAAAGAACACTGGTTTTATTTTGATGCATGTCCAAAACAAACATGGCATTACCAAGGTTTAATAATGCTTAAACCAGAAATTAACTGTTTTCTATTTCAATATATTTTAAAATATAATTTATTCCTATGATGACAAAGCTGAATTTTCCGCATCATTCCTCCAGTCTTCAGTGTCAAATGATCCTTCAGAAAATATGCATGCATTAGCCTTAGCAACCATGTGCTAAAAGCAGCGCAGCTTCAGGAATAGCCTTGAAGCTATTCTGAGATGTGGTTTACTCAGTAGACACAGTAAGTGCAGTGAAATGATAATCTAAAGTGTTGCACTCACTCTTTGGTCAGAACAGGACAGGACTTGAGCAGGAAGAGGTTAAGTGCTGTATCCTGGTAAGTGAGGTCCGGCGGAGCCGTGGGACTTTTCAAGTTTAGACACCGAACGATGACGTAGAGAACGGTGGCCACCGCCGCCAACTTCATGCCGTCAAACATTGCTGGCATCTCCGGCGCCACCGTGTACACCTCCGATTCATGAGTGTTCATATTTGCGCTAAAAATAAACAATAACAGATGACTGATGCTCTGCTTCAGTAAACTAGAACTGTTTGTGTGACGCCATGCCAGCTTCTGTGGCTATTTTCATTACGAGAAAAATTAAGCATAAACAAGCACAATAAAGCATAAACAAGGAAATCACATGACATTATATGAGGATCTATGGGTAAGATCTGGTTTAAACTAGTCCTATGTTCTGTCAGACAAATACAAAGTGGCTAGTTGATAACAGAAACTGATGGAGTCACTTACTTCGTAAGTTAGATGTGTTCTCGTATTCTCTGACGAAGGCTGAGGATTTTATGGGTGTGGACTGTAGGTCACAGTGATCTGGTCAATTCCTTTGAGGAAGGGAAAGAAGGAACGTTTACACGTATCAGAAACGATAAGAGTAGATAAGGTTGATTACGTATACTACCAGTGTCAAGTGGAGTACCAAGCCCATGTTAATTACGTAACTACCAGCTCTCTGCATAATAAATGAATATTTCAACCCAATGTATATATTCTGTGTCAACACAACTAGAGGTCCCCAGCTCAAATTTTTGATTTTGTTAATAGTTTTTCTGGTGAAAGAAATATCTAAATTAAGTAGAAAGCCAAAATATTAAATGTCATGGATGTATATTGTCTGAGTAATCCACTATTTTGTAGAGGGGGGTCAAAATGACAATTTTCACCTGAGATTTGGAGCCAAATTACAGGGGGGTAAAAATGACTTTAGAAAGATGAGAGTATAATTATGTTATTTTCACACAGATATCGGTAGGTCAGTTAGCAAAATCTGTTGACTTCAGCAATCTTTGTTACTTTATGTGCCAACGGTAACATTCCTCTTTAAAAATAAAAGAATCATCATCTTTATGCAAAATGAATCACATGTGGTTTTTGACCACTGAAAATGTGTACAATTTAACTATTTACTCCTGGAGTCATATTGAAATTCCAATATCTCTGGAAATTAACCATATAGGGCCTTAAAAATGAAGACGCCAAAAAGAAAGTTTGTTAAGACCCAACATCGAAAAGGGCATTAAGATATCTTTAAAACTTCTTGAGTTATAGGCATGCAAACTTTGGAGAAAAACTTTGAATGGTCACCTTTGGCACATAATGCAACAAAGATTGCTGAAGTCAACAGATTCTACTAATAGACCTACCAATCTCTGTGTAACAATAATATTATATGGAACAAAAATAATCATTATATGGAAAAGAGCAGCATATATATATATATATATATATATATATATAATATATATATAATCGTGTTCGTGTAATACATATAATGAAAGCGAATGGTGACTATGGCTCAGGGATATAATGGTTAACTTTAACTCAAACTAAAACAATTAAAACTTTTTTTTTATTCAAAATAATAGAAACTTTAACTGAGGTAACATAAAATGTGTGTGTGTGTGTGTGTGTGTATAGGCCTATGCAAACACACATATTTCAGCTAGTTGCCAAGACAAAAATTCTTCTTTTCATTTAGGTTAACTTTATGTACTAAAATAACTAAAATAAAAAAGGAAATAAAAATGAATAAAAAACTATACAGACTATAAAAAACTAATAAAAATTACAAAAAATGCTAAAACTTTAACTAGATTAAAATGAAAATGGAAAGTATAAAAATAAAACCTTATTTAAAATATTTATAAAAACTATAATAGTATCTCAATGATACTAAAATAACACCGCCGTGGGTGTCAAGCAAGATTTTTGCTGATTATTGGCTTTAATCTCATTATATGGCTTCAGAAGATATTCTTCACAACCTGAATACAGGTCTGAAAGACATCTATGACTCACTCTTCTCAAATGATCCCAATAAGGTTCTTTCATGACATTAATGTGTTATATGAGGACTACAGCATTTAGAACATTTAAGTGTTAAATCTGACTTATGCTTCTAAATAAAGTGAAAGTTTATGATAATCCTTTTAGAGTGCAAAAATAATTTTAAAGAAATTTCTTGATTGTAATTAGATAATGTTAAGGCATGGCAGTGTACATGATCCAGCTCTGTTAACTAGAGTAGCCTTCAATTTTTAATTGTGAAGAAATGCACCTGTCAACTTGATTCCCTGAGACCATGCTTATTTCTGTCTTAACATGCATGAAGTTCAATGGACCACATGTGAATTTGATCCCCTAACTTAATGAGGAAGACTGGACTTCTTTTATATCCATTCATGAGGTTGTGATTTGTGAAACTAATCTGAATCGATTAAATTAATGTAATAGTACATTATAAAGCAATTACAGTCAACAGCATTCACTGTTCAAAGATAATCCAAGACAACCCAAATTTGGCGTGTCAATCCAAATTTACGTAGACTTTTGTTTGACTTTATCAACAAACATGATTACATAATGCTTAATAGGTCGGTAGTTAACATTAAAAAATGTCAGCATCATGAAACATGGACTTGTATAATGTTCATATATGCATGCATGCTATGCTTAAATGCATAACAGATAGCTAGATTCTATATACAACAGATCAGTGGCATTATATAATGTTTGTAATTTAATTCATATACCTGATTACAGGTGAGAGATTCTCATGAAACCTGTCAAAAAAAATAAAGGCCGGGGCATATTTCACTCCAAAATCAAATGGAAAATAATATATAGAAATTACCATTTTTAGCATCAATTAGATAGTTTTATAGTTTCTATTAATATTTTAAATGTTTTTATATTTATTTTAATTTTAGTTAAAGACTTAGTAATTTTGTTGTGCTTTTTTGTTTTGTTTTTTTAATGTGCTTTAATTTGTTTATTATATCTTATTTTAATTCAGTTAACATTTATTTTATTTCAAGTAACAACAATAAAACTGGTTTTAGTTCATTTAACTATACTTAACCCTGCTTAGGATTATAATAGATATGAATAAAAATACAAATATACAGTTTAAACTTTATATTATTCAAGCTTTATCTTTATGCATCATTGTAGCATCTGTTGTATTGCTTTATACCAATTTTAAAATCAATATATAACAGTATTAGTTTACTTTAATAGAGTAATAAAACTGCCATATTATGTCATAAGACTGACCATTAAAAATAATAGAAATATTACAAGTAATTCAAGGTTGGATTACAATAATGAGAATGGAGGGATAATATCTGATTAACTGTCATTAAAGTAATGTCATAATGCCAAATATCTCAATGGACCTAAAACAGACTTTGTTCATATAAATAATCTGCACATGCTCTTGACGGGTTTCAGAAGATTGACATATGGGCATATGATTATAACCTACTGATTATGATCATAAATGATCAAGGAGTTAAATACCAACGCTATTATTAAAGTTAAGCAGATAAACACATTTCATGATGGTGTTTTGATGATTGTGACAGTGTGCTGATCAAAGTGTGTCCTGGAGAATTAGGCCCGACATCTGCCTTTACTTCAAAACACCCTCACATACTAATATATTCTATTGTTATTAGATCTATAAACAGTGTGGATATGCATGTCTATGGAAAACAAGTGTATTGCAGATGTCAACAGGGAAAAACAGGAATCATCTGCCCATCATTTACACTGATATTAGTGTGATAACAACGTTACGTGCACATGACACGTATACAAATATGTACTTACTACATAGCTAATGAAAAAAAAACACTAGGTTGTTCTGAAAATACAGGCTGTTAGGTTAAAAGCAGCATAATATCGCTTAAATAATCAGAATAAACGGGAAAAGAGACGACACCCCTACACATACACACAAGTATAAAAAAAACAAAAACGCATCTATTCAATGCAGCTGAACGCATCATACCTCGTTCCCCAATCGATCACAACCAGCTCCGTTTCCCTGTATCGGTCAAATGTGGAAGTATGCTTTCTCTGTGTGTTTATTTGGCGTTGCATTATCCGTGGTCCTTTTTATTGTATTTTTCTTCCCTCCTCGTCTCATCTACAGACAGAGACGCAACAGCACTTCCTGCTTTACACGAGCTCATTTACATACCACGCTCCCTATTGGCTAATACAAACTGTTGCGTCTTGGAGCACCGCCTCCTTTTTTATAACAGCGCTTCGAGGGCACGTTGCAGCAGCAGAAGCGCATGTTCTGGTTGCAAAGGGAAAATCGTCGCACTTGCAATTATACGCCTCTATCAATAATAATAATAATAAAGTCATGAATATTAATACATTTACATTTAATCATTTAGCAGACGCTTTTACCCAAATGAGGACAATAGAAGCAATCAAACCAACAAAAGAGCAAAATATATAAGATATAGGTGCTTTTTCTCAAGATGCCACATGCAGACTCTTGTGATATTATAGTGTAAATTATTGCCCAACATTTGCAGCGATCACTGCTAGAGTGAAAATATCTCTTAACTAGCGAACTAGCTCCACCTTGTGAAATTGCATAAAATATTTTTTGAAATGCATTCTTATGGAGTTTAGACTACTTTTTTTAAAAATAGATCATATTATATATATTTCTTACAAAATACACTTCTTTTGGCTGAATATGGATAGATAATATAGATAATATTTGATGAGAAATTTCAGTAGTGGGGGAAAAAGTGGAGGTTAAAATAAAAGTCAATTGCTCAAATTAAAATATATAGTTGTTGCTTATATTGATCGCAACATTACCAGGAAAATGTAAATAAGAAGAAGAAGAAGAAGAAGAATTCTCACAATATACTTATTATAATATAATATTCATACTATTACTATTTGGTTTAATCTTTTTTTTATTTTTTTGTATAAATGCCTCTCATATTGTTTTTTGTTCAGTTGTTCAGTCAAATAAAAATGTTAAATAAAGAGATCATTTAAATAAAGAAATCATTGTTCAGGAGAGAAAATGTTGATCTATGCCTAAAACCACTAAGACTGTTGTGAAATTTTTAAAGAGACATTTTCACACCTTAAGCATGATACCAATGTTATCATTTATTCATATTTCTTTATAAAAATGGCTAAAAAGTACAAATACAACGAGACTTTTTGTTATTGTTGTTTCTAACTTCTCAAATATAGGAAAATAAAGATTCAGAGCATGTCCTGTATGACCCAGTAGGGGGAAGCAACGGAGCAAATATATAAACACTCCCCTGCAGCAAAAGGTACATTTAAGCACTCATAAAGTTCAAAACGAACCTATTAATCCAACTATTCCAAGAAAGAAAAAAAAAAACCTTTGATTGATACTAGGACAATTCATAAAATAGGATTTTCGCCAAAAGAAAAATACTGTATGTTGAATTTAAGTATTTGTGTAGTGTCTAACAGAAAATTAACACCATGTAGAATGGACATTTTTGGTCAACTGATGGGGTGTTCAAAGTTTTAAACCCTTGAAGAAACCATACATGAACTACCAGGACCGTCCTGGTGCGGTCGCATCGGGCCCCGCGGCAAATGGACCGAGCAGCAGAGATTGCAAAAGTACACATATCCTTCACTCAAGTAGAAGTACAGATACTCATGTTTAAAAATACTCTGGTAAAAGTTGAAGTACTGACTACACTTTTTTTTACTCAAGTTAAAGTATAGAAGAATGGGCTCTGACATGTAGGCTACTTAAGTAAAAAGTAGCCATTACTAGGCTACTTCCTGTTTTAGTGTCACACGGGTAATGGGACCCCGTTGCAGTCTGTCAGTCTTGTGATAATGGAAGTGAATGGGAATCACGTTTTTGAGGGTAAAAAAAAAACATACACAAACAAACCAAATTAAACCTTGCGGCTTGTGACGATACATTGATGTGTAAAGACACGAAACGATCGGTCTGTGCAAGAAACTGAACAGTATTTATATCGTTTTTATATCGTTAATGGACCCTTGACACTCCTAATTGAGATTGTAGGTAGAATGTCAAGGGTCCATTTGAGAGATAGGTGGCGGTAATGCACTTATAAGTCTGCGATCCGCTGTAAAGCAAGAAGAAGAAGAAGACGCGTCACGCGCCAGCTGTTGAGAACGCGCTCAGGACAGTTCAGACATTGTAAAAAACGATATAATTACTGTTCAGTTTCTTGCACAGACCGATCATTTCGTGTCTTTACACATCAATTTATCATCCGGAGCCGCAGGGTTTAATTTGGTTTTGTTTGTGTATGTTTTTTTTTTTTCCCCCAAAGACGTGATTCCCATTCACTTCCATTATCACAAGACTGACAGACTGCAACGGTTTGAGTTAAAAATCTTCATTTGTGTTCTACTGAAGAAACAAAGTCACCTACATCTTGGATGCCCTGGGGGT